CCTGTAGCTCGGCGGGGGGGGGGGGTCTTCCGGCTGTGGCTGAGCAGGAGGGGGGGGAGAGAGGCTTTGAGAAGCCAGCTGCGGACACAGGAAGACCTCGCAAGGCTGCACGGAGGCCACCCTTCTCCCTCCCTTCCTGCTCTGCCGCAGCTTCAAATCTTGTCTGTGAAACAAGACCCCCTGCCCACATGGGGGGGTTGGCATCCTACCAGAGAGGTCTGGGCACATCTGTGGGGGGGCCTAGCCCCAGCCCCACCTGGCTATGGGCCTGGAAAGAAGAAGCTGTTGCAGAAGAAAACATGAATCATTGAACTCTAGTCTTTCTCCAGGATTTACAGATGTAGGCTCAGATATATGAACTGGCCCATTGCCAACCAATAAGCTTCATGACCCACTGACCATCCTCTAAACTTTTTCTTGAGGTTAAAAAAACAGAAATCATACACTATAATGATTTCTATTTTCAAATCTCGCAATTACTGAGATTTTTGTACTGATGAGCGGTTTGGGTTTTGTTTATCTCTTTCTTGTTTTGCCACCAAATTACATCTATGTAATATTTTCTTATACTATACTAAATATGTTCCAGTGAACGTATCATATGAAAACTCACCAAGAGATAAGAAGTATGGCAGAACTTTGTCAACCAGGCCATGATACACAAGTCTTCCTGCGGCAAGTAACGTCACACTGTCAAACAACTTGAAAATAGAGTACCGAGGCTGATGAATGGAAAAAATTATTGTTTTCCTTCTCACCGACATCCTAAATGCAATACAGAAAAGATAATTAACTGATGCAGTTACTCTTTTCCCCCCCAATGCTCATAATATCTACATATGAGACTTTAAATTTAAGAAAACACTCCTTTATCAAGGAGGAGAATACACAGGAAGTGATGGAAACTAAGACCGATTTCCCACAAGCCACTGCTCCACCCTCGTTCTTTCCTTTCCCCCGATTGTATGTGTCAATTTCCTACTATTTGCTGCGTGGCTGCATTTTGCCCCACAGCTTCGCCCGATTTCCCCTGCGTCTACTCAATCCTCAAAAAACAGGATCGAGTAGACGCAGAGGGAATTGGGCAAAGCTGCAGGGCAAAATGCGGCTGTGCAGCAAATAGTGGGAAATTGGCACATATGACTGGGGGAAAGGGAAGAGCAAGGGCGGAGCAGAGGCTTTTGGGAAATCGGTCTAACTCTCTTTCGAAAATATGCTGGTAGTGGCAGTAGGAAAATAAACCTTTCTCCCCGATGCCCTCTTCACTCCCATGTCAAAATAGCCCCTTCGTACACTGAGGAGCTACGGAGGATGAAACAGGAGCTTAGATGGCTAGAGCGAGCTTGGCGGCAGAGTTGTGACAAAGCTGCAAGAACATCTTATAGGACGTTTATGAAAGTCTATGAGATGGCAGTGAAGGCAGTGAAGAACTTCTTCATGGCCTCCACTGCATCCACTAGCTCTCATCTGGCACAACTATTTAGTGTAATTCATTCTTTAACATCTCTCACTGAGAGATCTCAAAATACCAGGAATTCGGCCATTAGCTGTGAGGTGTTTGCGAACATTTTTGCGGATAAAGTCTTGTTGCTCTGCCAGGATCTGCTTGCTAATGTTGATACAGTAAGTGAACTGGAGGCCCCTTGGCTGTCTTCAGGTCCAGTGTTGGACCCGTTCAGGCTGTTCTCATGGGCTGGGGTTGACAAGATCCTGGATGCTGTGAAGCCCACCACTTGCCTCTTTGACCCATATCCATCATGGCTGGTCAAAGCTGGCGGTGATGGAACGTGAGCTGAAACTAAATCCATCGAAGACAGAGTGGCTGGGCCGGGTGGTGGGGCTGGGATGGGTTGCCAACTCCCCTCTTTTGACAGGGTGCCATTAACAGCTGGGCCACCCATCAGGAGCTTGGGAGTGATCCTGGATGCCTCCCTTTCATGTTCATGAGGTTTCAGAATGTATGTTTTTAAACGTGTTGTTACCCGCTCTGAGCTGGTTTGGGGGAGAGTGGGTTTATAAATTGAATTAAATAAATAAATAAATAGTGCCCCTCAGCTGTTTTTATTCCTGCTTGAGGAAACCTGTCAGTACTTCAGTTAGATTCGAGTCCAGAAAACTTTGTTGGTCTCTAAGGTGCCACTGGACTCGAATCTAACTGCAGACCAACATGGCGACCGTCTGAAACTGTCAGGACTCGTACGTTTTCCCAAGCAGAGATAAAAGCAGGGTTCTTTTTGTAGAAAAAGCCCAGCAGGAACTCATTAGCATAATAGGCCACACCCTGAACGCACCACTCGTTAGCACATTAGGCCACACCCCCATGTTACCAGAAGTGTGGTCATCCAGCCACACCCACCTTTCCCTTCTTATTCTGTTTACCTTGTTTGTTGTCAAAACCCAGGGCTTTTTTTGGAGCAGGAACTCCTTTGCATGTTAGGTCACACACCCCTAATGTAGCCAATCCTAATGAGTTTCTGCTGTTGGGTGTGGCCTATTATGCTAATGAGTTCCTGCTGGGCGTGGCCAACTCAGGAGCCAGCCAGAACTCCGTTCCTGTGCGTTCCTGCCCAAAAATAGCCCTGTATAAAAGCATCTTTGGCTTGCCTTTTCCTAGCATGAAAACAGCCAGAAAGGAAAGGATTAAAGTCTCCCCTTTTCTCCCCCTCAGTTTTTTTTAAGGTCACCAGTTGGCTGAGGAAGTAGAGGTTTAATATGCAGAAATGAACTGCTGAAGCTTTTCATGGCATATCATATCTACAAATGCTAGTGACAGGCAGACAACCACAATCACATACATGACATTTATCATGACTGCTTTAGCTGAGCCAAGAGCCATCTATTAAACTTTCAGTGCTGGAAAGCACAGTATCCCCATAAGTAACCCTTGCTGCCTTGAGGAAAGAACTGTGTGATAACAGTACATTTATGGCACATACAAAATTACGGATTAGGTCTAACTAACATTTTCACTCACTTCCACCTAATTCCCCCACTTATCACAGCTCCTGCCATGTATGGCTTTTGTCCATGCAGGTTCCCTGATCCCCAGCAAAGCCTTTTTGGTCCTCTTTTTTTTAAAAAAAAAGTATGTTGGACCCACCCTATTCATAAAAACTTTACTGGGAGCATCAAAAGGGTATACTGCCTTTAAAAATGCTCCCTTATGCAACAATAGTTCAAGTCAGGGCACATCAGCCTGTGATTATTCTTGACCATAATTATTATTCACTACTAAGTCCAGAGCAATTCACCTTTTTAGGAGCTCCATGACACCATTGGCTGTGCTGGAATCCAATCCAGTCGTTGGTTCATCTAAAAACAATATTGGAGGGTCTGTGATAAGCTCTAGTCCAATACAGACCCTTTTCTTCTCACCGCCAGATATTCCACGCGTAAACAGAGTGCCAACCTACGCAGGAGAAGAAGTGAAGTTCTTTGGGCTGCAGCAAAATGCTTAAAAACTAGGAAAATATTTTATTTTAGAATGTTATAGATCAGGGGTCCCCAACCTTTTTGAGTCTGTTGGCACTTCTGGACTTCTAACATAGGGGTGGTCATCAGTGCAACTATAAAATGTCTGCCACAGGAGGCAGAGCTGGGGTTGCCAGCCTCCAGGTGGGGCCTGGAGATCGCCTGCTTCTACAACTGATCTCCAGCTGACAGAGATCAGCTCCCCTGGAGAAAATGGCTGCCAGTCTTTCAAGTACCTTGGCCCCCAAATTGTTCAGGTAGGAAGCCGCACTTTGAATTGCACCTGGGAACAGACAGGCAGCCTGAGGTTATATCACCTCCTACCTGATCTTTTATCTGGAAATGCTGGCCCTTGAACCTGGGACTGTATATCCAGCCTCCATCAATCAGTGGCAGAGCATCTGCTTTGCATGCAAGTCACAAGCTCCATGCCCAGCAGCTCCAGATAAAAGATCAGGCAGGAGGTGATGGGTGGGGGAGTCTACCCGAGACCCTGGAGAGCTGCTGCCAGTCTGAGTAGACAATACTGAGCTTGGCCTATTTCAGTATAAGGAAGGTTCTTGTATTTGCTACCTGATACGTATTCCCACAAAGCTGCAAACAAGGGTTCTCTCAAATTTTCCCCAAAGGCCAATAGTCAAAGATGGAGCAACAGCTTGATCAGGCACAGTCAAAAGCAACTTCTTCATATGATAGGCATTTCTATCCTCAGAAGCTGACATTTGGTATTTATTCAGCACGGCCACATATATCTATACCTTGGCATCTGCAACTTTAGTCAAATCCAGTTCCATAATGATCTGGTCAACTCTCTCCTTCTTCTCCTGGGAGCTCATAGAAGAAGGCAGCCGAAGCGCTGCTGAGAACTCTAGATTTTCTCTCACCGTCAAGGTTCCCATCACTATATCCTCCTTTCAGACAAAAAAAAAATGAGAATTGAAAGAATAAACTTTTATCTGAAAAATTCTCTAGACTGCATCCACCGTCATGCCAGGGTCAGTGCACATGGGTACCATGACAAGAACAACAGTGTTGCTGCACCATATTTTGCCCAACTTGATCAATTGTTAATGGACTTCTAAAGCTAGCTGGAGATGGCTGCTTTTGATGGCTAGATAAAAAAATCACTGATGGTCAATGGCTACTGGTGGTAGTGAAAAGTGCCTTCAAGTTGCCACTGACTTGCAGTGACCCCGGAGGGTTTTCAAGGTAAGAGACGTTCAGAAGTGGTTTGCCATTGCCTGCCCCATCGCTGCAACCCTGGACTTCTTTGGTATTGTCCCATCCAAATATTAAGCAGGACCAGGGCTATTTTTGGGCAGGAACGCACAGGAACGGAGTTCCGGCTGGCTTCAGAGTTGGCCACGCCCACTACAGCCAAAACCTCTGCATGTGTGACTACAGAGGGAAGGCCTGGAGAGCGACCCCCCGGCGACTCTGAGGCAAGTGGGCCAGAGGGGCCCCTGGAAGGATCAGGGAGGCATTTAAATGCCTCCCTGTGCCTTACCCGACCTGTCCAAGTGTCGGCTTGCCCAGGCTCCCCGCAGTCGCGGGGTGCCCGGACAAGCCAAGGGAAAGCATGGGGGTGTGGTCTAATATGCTAATTTGTTTCTGCTGTTGGGTGTGGCCTATTATGCTAATGCGTTCCTGCTGGGCTTTTTCTACAAAAAAAGCCCTGACCAGGACCAACCTTGCTTACCAAATGAGATCTGATGAGATTGGGCTATCCTGGGCTATCCATGTCAGGGCTACTGGTTCTTGGCAAATGCCATATGGCTCAGTATGAGCGAGAGAGAAACATCTGTTTCCTCTGGGTCAACTTGCGTGTTTGTTTGTAAATGAATACACTTTCTGTACTTTCTCCACACAAGAAAATGGATTCTGCAACTGCTGTCAGTAGAACTTTCCTACCATTTGGGAAAGTGGGAGATGCAATATTTCTGCCAGCAATACTGTCTGTAATACGAGCACAACATCTGCATACAAATCAGATAAAGGAGGAAAACGGTTGCCATTTTTTATCTATGTCCAGATGTTATCGAATGGCTTGATAACCTGAAGACCAGCTTGCCAAAATGCATTTAAGTGACATCCATATCCAGACGTTCTCTACAGGTCTGATAGAGCAAAATAAACATCCTGTGTAGTCCTGTAATTAAAAAACAAAACAAGCAACCCCCCTCCCAGAAATCAGACACAAGCATGGGGAGAAAAGCTCCTCAACATTTTCCCTCAAGCCATTTCCCACCAAAGTTCACATCCCTCAAGTCGCTTTTACCTATAGTGATGCTTTTATCTATAGTGATGTTCTCCACAGCCATTTTAAGAGCAGCTGAGGGAGTGATTTTGGTTACGTGAGGGGGGGGAACTAAATACCCCTTCTCCCATCATGCTGGTCTCCTCCTTTAAACCAACAGCACACGCAGCTGCACTGCGTTAATTTTAAAAATTCCTGACAGTCTACTATATACGCTTAGCATATTTAAACATTTCAGTCTTCATTTATTTAATTTAGGCCCCGGGCATACGTGCAGGAAAATGGGGGGGGGGGCGTGGCTATTTGCGCGGTCACATTCTGATCCGCCATTATGCAATCAGATGCGACGGCAGCACACTGGGGTTTCGACCTTCGGCGCGCGCGCTGCAAAGAGGACGGCCGGAGGGAATAGGTGCGCGCCGGCGCAATCACACCAAACGAATCCATCTGCAGCCCGTGGCAAACCATTTGCTAGTAGATCTTTGCAGGTACTTTTTAACTGCGCCTCTTCAGCGGCACGCCACAGGTTGGCCATGGGTGCGCTACGCTTGCCAGATGTTGCGGTGTGATCGCGCCCCGAAAATTAATCCAGCATTCATGCCTTTCGCACGGCAAATTCTCCGTGTGACCGGGGCCTTAGTACATTTTTATCCCACCCTTCCTCCAAGCTCAGAGCAGCATATGCTGTTCCCTCACCTGCTCTCCGTTTTACCCTCACAACAGCCCTTTGAGGTAGGTTAGGCTGAGTATGTGTGACTGGTCCAAGGTCACCAAGCCAGCTTCCACAGCAGAGTGGGCCGTTGAACCTGGGTCTCCCAGATCCTACTCTGACACTCGAACCACTACGCAAAACTGGTGAAGGTTATGCGCAGAGCGAGGTTTTGCTTTTCACATACAAGAGCCACCCGGCTCTCAAGTAAGTAGTTTCTTCTGTGCGGAAAGCACCTTAGCGATTGTCCCCTGCAGAGAGTTCCCAGCCTCTTATGCCCAGTCCAGAATCTCAGCTGTGCCTAGGCTGCCTTGCAGCTAACCCCAGGGCTATTTTTGGGCAGGAACGCACAGGAACGGAGTTCCAGCTGGGTCCTGAGTTGGCCACGCCCAGCAGGGGCTCATTAGCATAATAGGCCACACCCAACAGCAGAAACTCATTAGGATTGGCTGCATTAGGGCTATTATGCTAATGAGTTCCTGCTGGGATTTTTCTACAAAAAAAGCCCTGGCTAACCCTATGGAAGGCTTGAACCAGGAGCCTCACGCATGCAAAACATGTGCTGTACCACCAGACCATGCTTTTCTCTGTAGGTCCCCCACTCTCATGTGGAAAATATGGATGGTTTTGATATTAGAGCCAAAGGGAGATGCCAGATGCCCTTAGACAGCTTTTGCCTGTCTGCCCAGCTGGGATTGCATCACAGTGTATAAGGGATGGGTTCTCGTCCTGCCTCCTCTTACAGCATTGCTGCTAGACAAAAGGGGAGCTGTGCCTTGTTTCCAGCTTCCCTCTGGGTGGGATTCAAGCTCCTTCACTCCTGCTTCTCAGTGCAGTGCATCTCCTCGACTATCAGAGGAATGACAGGAATGTGGATACTCTGTTATATGTGTCTGTGTCCCTCTTGTTTTACAAAAAGCTGCTCCTCAGACCATTCTTCACCCCCTTGCCACCTTATGCAGGACCTGGTTCTTTATCAGGGAAAGGCTGTGGCCTTTGTGAAGGGTGGCAGAGGTATCCGGATGGTATATGTAAAGTGGTCATGCTTCCTCCTTCACTCACCAGAAGGTGTGGCTCGGTGGTAGAGCATCCACTAGGCATGAAGAAGGTTGCTGGTTCAATCTCCAGCATCTTCAGCTAAAAGGATCAGGGAGTAGGTGACATGAAAGACCTCTGCCTGAGTCCCCAAAGAGCCACTGCCAGTCTGAGTAGACAAGACTAACCTGGATGGACCAAGGGTCTGGATGATATATGTAAAGTGGCCATGCTTCCTCCATCACTCACCAGGAGGTGTGGCTTGGTGGTAGAGCATCCACTTGGCATGAAGAAGGTTGCTTGGCATAAAGAAGGTTGCTGGTTCAATCTCCAGCATCTTCAGCTAAAAGGATCAGGTAGTAGGTAACATGAAAGACCTCTGCCTGAGTCCCCAAAGAGCCACTGCCAGTCTGAGTAGACAATACTAACCTGGATGGACCAAGGGTCTGATTCAGTAGAAGGCAGCTTCATGTGTTCACGCCTTGTGTGAGTTCTCCTCCCCAACAAAAGGGGGAAATATCTGCAAGAGGAGATTCATGGCCCCATCTGCAGACCTCCCAGGTGTATGGGACTCCTACCGGGCACACCACATGCCTCCCTCCAATGGATGCTGCTCTGTTGCCCTTGTATCTTCCCTTGTTGTGGTGTGTGGGCAGGAGCAGGTTGACGGCAGAGCTGTGCTGCCATTGCTGTGCATTGGTTGGCTGCTTCCACATATACCTGGTCCAGGGGAATCATCTGCAGTTAATGGAGTTGCTATGGACTCTAGTGCAATTGTCATGTTCTCAGCTCCTTGGAGTTAGGTCCTTTTTTGTCAGATTCTCTCCTCTACTGAGAAAGCCTTGCCGCCATTTGCAGTGAGCCGGCATCTGGGGCTCAGGACTGAGCTTTCCTAACCAGAGAATGTACTGGGTAAAATGCGATTAAGAAGTAATATTTCTGTAGAAGAAGAATAAACAGCAAAATACTCCCGAGTCAAATACATATACACTATGTCAGTAAACAGCCCAAAATGTTAGATAGAGAAGGAAAATTTAAAAACTAAGGCCTGCTATAGATGTTATTTACCTGTACTACATATCCGGACATACATTTAAACTTTGGAGGCTGAGGGTACCCATTGATCAAAATCTCTCCGGTCAATCCACGAGGATCTTTCCTTGTAGCTAAAATATCTAATAAGCTAGAAGACAGACAAAATGACCTGGAGTAAATCACATCCAGGATACCTGTATACATTTTGAAGATCAGACTTCTGAATCTTTTTTTTTAAGATAATGTTTAATTCATGTTATAAAGAAAAAAGATAAATCAGAAGACAGTCATCAATAAATAGTAACCAAAAGGGGGGGGGGGGAGAGAGAAAACATATGTGAAATTACAAAAGATTGCACAACCATACCACTTCGCTGTCAGCCATTAACTCTCCAGTCCCGAATTCAAAAAAGGTTTTTATTTCTAAAAGAAGGATGCTTTCCCCAGTTTACTGTCTCTCAGTCAGACCATTTCTGTTAGCTTTGATAGTTAGATATTTGCCACACAGCTGGCAATTAAACATGGGTTGTTTGCCCTAGATTGGGCGCTACTGGGAAATGGGGTATTTCCCGCTTCTACAAAACATTGTGATGTTTCCATGCACCTCCTGCATTTTCCCTGTCTTTCCCATGATCTTTCCCACAGTGCTATTTTGGGGTGTTGTTTTGTGGCCTTGTTTTGGGGAAGATCACAGCAAAGCCAGGTTAGCATCCTGGGAGACTCCAGATCAGTCCAGTCCCACCCACACTGGCGCAATTTCCCCTGCCCCAGTCCCCCATGGCCATTTCCCTTGCTGCCAGGGAGCTTCTTTAAAAAGAAATCTGAAGTTGAATAGGGTTATAAGGTTATAACAAATTGTATATCAGGTTCTCTGAATTCCCAGTTTTCACCAGCCCTTTTCATTTCTGAGATATGCCTTTCTTCTTATGTCACTGCAAAGACAGGAGCTAGAGACTGGCTTATTTAAAAATAAGAGCTGGGGATTCAAACAGATGTTAGGACAACATGATATTCAATTGCTGATTTTAAGAACCTGAAAAAGGTCCCTGGTGGCCGGAGGGGGAGGGAATGCCCACTGCCGGTGGATTGGAACTGGGAAGTGCAGGGAAAGCTGCCATGTGGAAGCCCAGTAGCTGCTGTGCTGCCCTGTCCACTGCATCAACAACAGGAAAACTCCACAGGACCGTCTCCATGAAGGAAACACCTTTAATGCAATCTTGCCAAGCCCAGATGATACCATGAGGCAATTTCATTATTGCAAAGATATTTATGCAATATCTTTAACCAGCCAAGACTGGTAGTACATCATCCATGTTTAACACTTGGAATTCACTGCCACAGGAAGTGGTGGCAGCTACAAGCATGGACGGCTTCAAAAGGGAATTAGATAGGCATATGGAGCAGAGGTCCATCAGTCGCTATTAGCCACAAGGTATAGATGGGGGCTCTGGGGCAAGTGATGCTTTGTCTTCTTGGTGCTTGGGGGGGCCAACAGTGGGAGAGCTTCTAATGTCCTGACCCCACTGGTGGACCTCCTGATGGCACTGGTATTTCTGGCCACTGTGTGACACAGAGTGTTGGACTGGATGGGCCTTTGGCCTGATCCAACATTGGCGTTCTTATGTTCTTATGTTATCAGCTTCAGAAGAGATAACTCCCCCATCCTCTCTTTGTTTCTGCATGACAGAAAGCACAACCTGATCTATCTCACCATACCATATCAATCCCGCTAGTTCTTTTTGCCAATTATTCGTTGTTTTCTCAGACAATATAATTGGTACACTTCCAAACTGGTATACACGTTTAGACAAGATTATCATTTTTATGGCTGCTATCTGGCCTGAACAGGAGCTATGCAAACTAGATCAGTTCGGTAGGTCTTCCTTTAAAGGGTCCCATAATTTCAAATAGGTATTTATTATATAGATCATCAGGTTCGCTAGATAACCAAATTCCCAAACAAGACTCGGATGTTCAAGTCAGAATAGAAATACTAGAAATGATACCTTTCTTGTAAAAAATTAAGTCCCATCATCTCTGATTTTAATTTCTGTATTTGATAACCTCATATTGTCCCATTCTTATCAATACATTTCAAAGCAGTAGCGATCAAATTCAGAGAGGCTGTCAAAGACAACATGCATGCTTTTATCTTTTCCATTTTCTGTTTAAAGCAATTTGCAAACACACACACACACACATATATATTTGTGACTCTACTTTAGTTACTGATGTTGAATATAATAATATTAAACTATACAGTTACAGGTTTATCATAAACCAACCTGTCTTTCTTTCTTATTTAAACACTTACGATGATTTGCCAGATCCTGTGGGCCCTAAAATTGCATTGAGACCAGGTTTCATGATGCCGCTATAAAAGAAAACCAACTTGTCACAAATTCTACCAACCAAGTCTTCCCCCCGTCTATAGATACTGTTAAGAATTTACTGTCTGATTACTTTGAAAGCATCTACCTATATGATTTTTGCCTGAAATGGCACTTGATGGGAGTCAGGGTTATTGCCAAAAGAACATTTGAGTTTTCTTCAACAGGCAGCTGACAGTTCAGAAACGGTCTGATAGCTTCCTCTCTTGAACATACCAAACGCAACATCTCCAGCTTTGTTAATATAATGAAGAGTCCTGGACCCCTTAAAGACTAACTAATTTACTATCAAGGGAACCTTAAAGCCAAGTTCTGACTCATGGAAACTCCTCCCACAACAAATTTGCTAGTCTTGAGGGTGCTGCACAACTCCTTCTTGCTTTGGTTGCAACAGCCTAATGCAGCCTGGAATTTTGCTAACAGGACTACCGTGTCTTTGTTACTCCTGCCCTCTGTCTTAACAAGGGATCCGGGTGTTCTTATTAGTGCTAGGTCTGAGTAACAGCTTGCTTTCATATTCTCAAGGGAAGAAGAGCCATTGCCTTTTTATTCCAAGAGCCTTTGGTACAACTTGAGATGTAGCGTACTCAAAAATTATTCAAAAGCCCCCTTCACTTGTCTGAACTTAAGACTAGGGCTTTTGGCTTCTGCCGAGCAATGTCCTTCCGTCTCCTTTCTAAAAAGGTAACCTCCACCCTGAAGATGAGTTCTGCTGAAGCTGAAAGTTTGCTCAGTAATCTGTGTTGTTTTGAACTGGTCTCTGTCGGGTGGAGTATTATCCTACTCTTGGCTCATGAAACAGTTGTCAGAGATGGGAGAAGGAGGTGCCTCTCAGTCTTAGGGGAGGGGGCAGGGCATGTAAGGAAAAAGTAATTGGAGGTTGAAAACAGACATGGAAAGATGCAGATGGAGAGAGCTGTGAAATGGCTGAAGCACCCTTAGGTGCCGAGTCTCCCACTGAAGACGTGATGTGGAAGTCTGGATCTGTTGCCCTGCAAGATCTACTCTTTGTCTCTGTTTGCTATTTATTTGGAAATATTAAGTTTCTGGTGTCATCCAAAAGGAACCAAACCCAGGTAGCACTGCACTTAAAACTGCTCACCACTTGGTAGACAGGGACTGAGCACATCTGGGGATAGCTTTGATTTGGGCTGCTGGGATGTTGATCCATTCTCAGAGAATATAGGCTGGTGCTCACAATGTGGTTTTAAAAATGAAATGTCCTCTTTCCCGCGTCCTCTTTCCCGCCTCCAAGTGACAGGAACAGTTTCGCAAGATTAGGATCCATACTTTATAATGTAGTAACTTACCTTTGGTTGACTACCTCTACATGGTATAGCATGCTACCGTGGTTAGAGTGTCAGAGTGGGATCTGAGAGGCCCAGGTCTGAATCCCCATCCTTTGTAGAAGTTGGCTGGGTGACCTTGGGCCAGTCACACCCTCTCAGCCTAACCTACCTCACAGGGTTGTTGTGAGGATAAAATGGACTAGAGGAGAATTGCGTAAGCCACCTTGAGTCCCCCAGTGGGGAGAAAGTTAAAGGAATAAATGAAGTAAGAATGCAAATTCATTTTTAACTTAAGGAGCATGAATCTTGGTTCAGCTTCATTTAACTGCAGGCACATTTTAGGAAGACAATAGATCCATCTGCTCACAGGAAACAATCTAGTGGGGATTTCTCTCTATGGACAGCGCTTGTTCATTTCAAGGAAGTTTGACAGGAGAACTTTCTGAGTGCTCTTTATTAATGAGGCTTTTAGATTCTCCATCTTGGGAACCAGGTTACAGGGCAGACGTGGGCTTTAGATATAGCATGTCTAGAGAGCTTCATGAGCTGTTTGCACAATTTTTTTAAGCATGATGGATACAAACCCTGAATAGTCAAACACTTTTTAGACTGCAGTCACCTTTCACATTTTCATGTTGTGCCACTTCTGGTGACTGAGCTATCAGTGGGATCTGTTCAGACTTTCCCTCAGGAGTTCCATCTGTTCTGAGATTTATTTTTTTGCACATGCATCGAAACATTTGAGTATCTCAGCAGCTTTGTTCGCTCATCTTCTTTACATGAGAGTATCCCCATTTACTCTCGTGTAAAGCACAGTTGCCGAAGCACAAAAGGTACTTTATCTGCACCATTGGCTTTGGTATCGAAGACGGGGACATGGTCCAGGGTTTCTTTCTCAGGTGGCAGAGAGAAGAGACCAGACCAGACCGGGGTCCTTTCCGCATGCACAGCTGACTGCAGCTTACTGCAGAGAATCCGAGCAGTCAAGCCTTTAAACTTGACTTCGGATTTGTGTGCCTGCCGTATACACTATTCTTTTTTCTCTGGTGTATTTATTTTGCAGCTGCAACCAAAACCCACAGTTTTTCTTAACTGGGGTGGCAACGTCAGTTGTGACATGTGGGGGGTGGCATCTGAAGTTTTTTTTTAAATGTACACAAGTGTCCAATCGCAGCTGCACAGTAGTGTCCAACAAAACCTTCCATTTAAATCCTTGTGGTTCAGGTTTTGAGCATGCCTTTTAGTGTTAGTTTGTTGAATGAAAGGGAATGGAAAGGAAGGCAGAAAAAGGGGGGGAAATCCACTCTTGAAACTGACCAGACTTTTTCTGAAACTTACAAGCAGCTGGGAAGGCACTAGGGGATTCTCTGCTTTGTTATCAGCCAGTGCAGTCCGAATCCTCTGTTCTGTCCCGAGCCGACTGTGTGCTCCAGGTTTCTCTCTTGCCTTGCAGCAAAGGTGGCTCTTCTCCCCTCACCTCCTCCCCCCATTCCACTCCAGAGGGACCCTGCAACTGGGGGGAGGTCTTCTCCTCCCCCTTCTCCTATTGCCTGACTCGAAATCTTTCTGCAAAGCTGAGGGTGGGGGACTTGGTGAGCTGCAGGCAAGTCAAACAAAACAACAGCCCTGGCACCACCCTCACCCTCTCTCCTCACCATTAATTGAGCTCATTATCATGCTGCGATCGCTCGCTGCCCATCTAGGGGTGAAGAAACAAGAGGGTGGCAGACAGGCAGTGGGGGGGGGGGAGCTGCAAGCCCCAGACAAAGCCCATGCGGCTGGATCTCAGCGTTGGCAGGACGTGAGCCTGTCTTGGTCACTCACCATGGTGCTCTTGAAGCTGGCCCAACAAAAGGGTGGCAGACAGGCAGTGGGGGGGGGGAAGCTGCAAGCCCCAGACAAAGCCCATGTGACTGGATCTAAGCGTTGGCAGGATGTGAGCCTGTCTTGGTCACTCTCCATGGTGCTCTTGAAGCTGGCCCAACAATGGCCGGCAGAACCAGCAGCTCCCATGCATTCCCTTAGAGGCCTGCCTGAGGGGAAGACCTCTTTTGGAGGGGGAAGGCCAGTGGCTGCGGGGCATGCTGAGTGTTGGGATCTGTGGGCCAGTGTGACACCTCTACTGCTCTAACTCACCTGGCTCTCAGGATTTCCCCTTCCAGCCCAGTTCTCCCCGTGGCGATCGTACAGCCCATCTGCCTTGGGGAGGGAAGGGAGAACTGGAGGCCTTACAGACTCTCTCTCATGGAGGTGGGGTGGTGTGCAGCAAAGGGATTAGGGGGTCTTCCTCATGATTTAGGGGAGCTGACACCTAGAACACTGATGATGTAAGTCTCCTTTGGTACAGGCATGCACCAAGGGTCTAGTCATCTCTCCCCCTCTGGTCTTTTCTCTATCTCTTTCCCCCACTCTCTCCGTCTCCTCTCCCTCTCGCTGAGTGATTAAAAAGAACCATATTATTCCCTGAGCTCTGGCTGCCAAACCTAGAGAATGTGGATCAGAGGAGTTGACCACAGGCCACTTGTATTCCACAAAAGGGGGGTTGGGGGAGCAGGGGAAACAGAAACCCATCTCAGCTCTCCAGGGCTTGGAAAAGTGGCTGGCAGTTGCCAGAGACACAGACCACCACACCACTCAGCCACCAGTGCCAAATGGGAGCCCGGCCAATGCAAAATTGACCAATAAGGAGTGGGATGAAGGACCTCAATGGGGGCAGAGAAGAGGCCTCCGGGGGCCGGAGAAGGGTGGGGGGGAACCCAAGGTAACATATATATGTTTTTGAATTACCTTCAGCTTGGAAGCAAGGCAAGGGGAAAGACCACCACAAAACCACTCTCAGAAGAGTCAGGGAAACAGCAAACAGAAAGAGAACTCAGTACTTAAAAAAGGAAAAACAATGCAGAATGGGGGGGCATGCACAGTTAAAGCGATGGGAATGCAGAACAACAAAGAACACCCGACGGACATGGATGGTAAAAGCAAGGGAAAACACCAATGCATAATAGGCCTGAAAGAGAGAAACACACACACACAAGACAGAGCAAAGAGGAACGTGCCCCAACACAGGCACCTTCAATCGCTGAAATGTTTGCCTATTGAGATGGAAATTTAAAAAACACCCACATCAGCCTGCCCTTTCTGAGTGGATTTTGACGGGCTGGTGGGTTGAGCTGGAAGTAGTCAATGTGAAAAACTTAGTTCAGATTACAGAGCAGAGGCTTTGTTGCAAATACATGGAATTCACATGGAATTCACTGCCACACATGAGGGAAGGCTACAAGCATGGACGGCTTCAAAAGGGAATTAGATAAGCATATGGAGCAGAGGTCCATCAGTGGCTATTAGCCACAAGGTATAGATAGGGGCTCTGGGGCAAGTGATGCTCTGTCTTCTTGGTGCTTGGGGGGGGGTCAACAGTGGGAGGGCTTCTAATGTCCTGGCCCCACTGGTGGACCTCTTGATGGCACCTGGTATTTCTGGCCACTGTGTGACACAGTGTTGGACTGGATGGGCCTTTGGCCTGATCCAACATTGGCGTCTCTTATGTTCTTATGTTCTTACATTTCACTTTGGGGGAAAAGAGCAGGAGAAACCAGTTTTATTAGGAACAGGGGGGAAATGGGCAAGATATGAGTGCTGGGATGTTTACAAAGTTGCCTGAACACATGAAAAAACATGGACACGGTAACATCAGGTAATGCACGTTAAGGCAATGTGAAAGATGCCCTAGTCTTGTGAAGCGTGACAATAAAGAATTGTAAACATTCTGGGCTTGTGTTTTCACACACTGCTGGTTAACAAGACACTTATTTTGCCCTGACTTTCAGAATTCCCACATTAGCTTTCAAGCTCAAAAAAACCTTTTCTTAGGAGTTCACCATTTATGTATGGAACATAAATCATGAACTCCAAGAGAGCCTATATCCTGAGCATAGCTCAGATAGCCTGGGGAGGTACAAGTCGCTGAATGCTTCAGTATGGGGTGTAGCAGGGTTTCTTTCACAGTGAATATTCAGGTATGATGAAATACCCATGGAGAACATTTCCAGCTGAGCATTGCAGAATCATAGTGGAGAAGGGAGAGCTGTACCAAACCCACTCTGTCTCCACACGAGGGGAAAGAAAGAGGGTACTCAAGATCAGTAAGCATCAGCAAGCAATTAATTTGTACCTGATATCTGTTAAAATCTCTTTTTGAGTGGTTTTTCGGAAGCCAAAGTTGCCTGTCTTCACTTTCATTGTGTAGCTGATGTTGTAAAAGGTCATAGTGTTTCCCTGAGCAAACACGGTTTCTGAAAGCGTCATTCTCCTGATCTTTGACTCATTTCCAAGTTTTACATGTTCTTCACTCAAGATCTTCGTATGTCTTCCCATTTTGGGAGAACTGTGCTACTGTATAAATGATGAGATGATTAAAAAAGAATCACTGGGAGCTCAGAATAATAATGAAATAAGTCATTTAAAAAAGAAAGCGACAATGTATAAAAATTGATTGAACAGTCACAAAGTTCACAAACTGAATCTAAAAGGCACCTACTGGTGAAAAAAAGAAATTGCAAAATATCTAAGCTTTCTTATTGAGTGTCCTTTCTTTGTTTGAATTTTTTGTCCACAAATCTACCTGACATAAAGCGCCATCCTAAACCGCTCTAAGAGCATACACAGCTGCCTTACACCAAATCAGTCCAGATAGTTTAGTGCTATCTACTACCAGTGTGTTCAAAGTGGTCATAAGGTTGACTCAGTTTCAGGGAGACTCGGCTTCAATACCCACTTTCTATGAAGCTTACTGGGTGACTGTGGGCCGGTCACACTCTCTCAGCCTAACCTCCCTCACAAGGCTGTTGCGAGGATAAACCAGCAGAGGAAAGAACTGTGTAGGGTTGATTAGTTGGAAGAACTCCTTGGAAGAAGGCAGTGTTTTTAAAAAATGCAGCAAGGCCCTGTCCATATGAGTGGTTTTGGGCCGGGAGAGGGACGGATCGGGGCCGCAGCAAACGGGCGTGATCCCACAGCAACATCTGGGAATTGTGCTGCGCCCGTTCCCAATCCGCCCCTCCCGGCCAAAACCCGCACCAAAAAAGAATCACCTACCTGGGTGGTTCATCCTGAAGGGCTGCGGCAAGTGCGGCCGTGGGATCGCCGGCGCGTCCTTGTGCTGGCGCATCCCCGGCTCCTGTCCGAACTGCGCATGTGTAAGCATGCGCAGTTCGCCAGCCTCCCCTTCCCACCGTTGCTTTCTCCCCGGCATCTGATCGTGCCGGGGAGCTACAGCGCCGCGGCGTGGGATCCCGCCGTGCCGTCTCAACTTTGGTGCGGCTCAGAATTAGCCACGCTTCACCCACCGCTTTTCCTGCTGTGTGGCAGCAGCCCAAATAAATCTCGGACTGGATGTGACAAAGGGTCTTTCCCAGCATCTGTCCCTTGAACTCCTTTCATTGGAAATGTCAGGGACTGAACCAGAGATCTGCAGGCAAGTAATGTGTGCACTACCTCTGAGCCACAGCTGCCCATCCTATGACCCACATCAAACAATTACCATGCTAGGTGCTATAACTGACATGGTGTGGATGATCAGGTGTATCTTTGTCCCTTCCACCAAGCAGACAACACCAGACAAGGCATGAATACTCCATGCAGATGATCAACTGTAGAGACACACAATGTTTGCACCCTCCCTTTTTATCAAGAAGAGGGGGAAAGGGTTCATATAGAACATATGCCCTGGCCTGGACAGCCCACACTAACCCAAACCCATCTAGATCTCAGAAGCTAAGCAGAGTTGGCCTGGTTAGTACATGGATGAAAGACCCCCAAGGAAGTCCAGGGCCGCTATGCAAAGGCAGGCAATGGCACACCACCTCTGTTTTGCTCACACCGTAAGTCAGCTTCAACTTGAGTGTCCTTCCCACACACACACACACACACACACACAAAGCATATGCATGGAAGACCTGCATAATATTTCTTTGCGTGAATGGAGAAGAGAGTTAGGCATGCCATTCATGTACCAGCCCCAAAAGCAGAACCAGGCCCCTGATAAAAACAGGCTGAATGAACATGAGGGAAATTTGAAAGTGGGAAAGGCCATTCTGCTAGTCATAAGGCTGCCGGAGGATGTCGTGACGGCCACAGGAATAAACAGTTTTAAAAGGGGCTTAGATGGATTCATGGAGGATAGGTTTCTCAATAGCTACTGAGGTGACTGAGGTGACACATTCAGAAGCACTGAGCCTCTGAATCCCAGAGCCAGGAGGCAACATCAGTGGAAGGCCTTGGCTGTTCACAGGAACTGGTTGGACACTGTGTGAGACAGGATGCTGGACGAGATGGACCATTGGTCTGGTCCAGCAGGGCTCTTCTTATGTTCTTAAGACTGGCCTCTCCTGGCAGTACCCTCTACCTGGCAGGTGAGAATTTCCTCAGTGCCTTCATTGAAGCAGAGGCACACAGCAAACTGCTTTTTTTGAAGTAAATCTAGGCTAATTGATAATTATACCACTGTTTTGAAGTCCAAACTCACCTCTTTAAATATTAGGGTTGCCAGGTCCGACTCAGAAAATATCTGGGGGACTTTGGGGGTGGAGGCAGGAGCCAGGATGTGACATTGCAAAAGTGACCGCCGGGCAAAGTTTAGAGTGTGATGCAACACCCAATGCGCTCGGTCTGAGGTGTTGGTTTCCGGATTTGTTGAATCCTCACAACGGCGAACTGTTCCCCGGCGTCTGGCAGGGAGCAGGATCCTGACACTCCAATTCTTTGGAAGAGGCTCCTTACTGAAAACTGTAGGGACCTGTCTCAGGTTGCTTTTCCAGCAACTTGAGGGGGTATTTTAGGGTTGCCAACTTCCAGGTGGGGGCTGGAGACCTCTCAGGATTACAACTGCTCTCCAGATGACAGAAATCAATTTCCCCAGAGAAAATGGCTGCTGGGGGGGTCTCTATGGCATTATACACTGCTGAGATCCCTCCTCCAAACCCTCCACAGGCGCCATTCCCCAAATCTCCCAAGCAACCCCAGCATATGATCATGATTGACAGTAGGCTGAAAATATCTGTGGCTATTGTGATCTCTCTCTCTCTCTCTTACATTTCTAATGTGTTATTATTTCAATACATTATATTTTAAAGTGATGTATTGTTAAGTAATAGGAGCTGCAGTGCTTCAAGTGGTTAAGACACTGAACTGCAGGCTGTGGAAGGTCGGTAGTTCAGCAGTTCGAGACCCGAGTGTGCCGCATGACGGAGTGAGCTCCCGTCTCTAGTTCCAGCTCCTGCCAACCAGCAGTTCAAAAGCAAGAAATTGCAAATAGATAAATAGGTACCACTTCAGTGGGAAGGTGACAGCGCGCCTGTGTGTTTAGTCATGCCAGCCACATGACCACAGCTTTGAAACGGAGATGAGCACCGCAACCCTAGAGTCGGATTCGACTGGCTTTCGAGCAAGGGAACCTTTACCTTTACCTTTACCTTTACCTTTATTGTTAAGTAACTTTGTTAATTATCTTGAATGTATGCATATAAATTAGTAAAAAAGGTAAATAAACAGAAGTTGGATATAAATATCCTTGAGAAGAAATGGAGCAAAACCTTTTTAAAAGTTTAGGGAGCGGTATTAAACTTCTCCTGACTAGATTCAATGGGAACAAGCCTGATTTCCTGTATGGGATTGGAAATGCAGGCGCTCCCTCCTGAAAATGTAAAAACTACAGGTCAACCGAAATGGAATTAATTTTTCTAAAAGCAGTGCCTTCATTGAAGCAGAGGCACACAGCAAACTGCTTTTTTTGAAATAAATCTAGGCTAATTGATAATTATACCACTGTTTTGAAGTCCAAACTCACCTCTTTAAATATTAGGGTTGCCAGGTCCGACTCAGAAAATATCTGGGGACTTTAGGGACGGAGCCAGGAGCAAGGATGTGACATCACTTTTGTGATGTCACTAGGGTTGCCAGGTGAGGCTGACAAGCCGGGAGTTCTGGCCCTCACGTTTGAAAGGACTGCATTCCTTTTAAATGCTTTTCCTCCATTGGATGGGGGCACCTTCTTTTGGGGCTCATAGAATTGGACCCCCTAGTCCATTTTTTTTGAAACTTGGGGATTTTTTTCAGGTGAGGCACCACCAGCTATGCTGAAAATTTAGTGCCTCTAACTAAAAAAAACCAGCCGCCCTCTAAGCCCCAGATACCCACAGATCAATTCTCCATTATACCCTATGGGGACTGGTCTCCATAGGGTATAATGGAGTGCCCAGCGGCCCTCTCCCCCGCTTTCTGTCAGCCCTGAAGCAGGGGAGGGGCTCCAAACCAGGGGATCTCCTGCCCCAAACTGGGGATTGGCAATCCTATTTAATATCCTCCTACCTCTGGCCTAGTTAGAGATGAACTAAAGCCCTATGCTTAAATTTATTTTAAAGTGTTGAACATTACACAGTTCCTGAAATCCTTATTACTAAGAGCCTATTTAGCAGCACCTAAGACCAGAAGCACACACAGAGAAAATAGTGAGACAGCCCCCTCCCACAAAAATCCAAAAAGGCACCTGAGGCCCTCTTAGCCTAACACCCACACACACACACAACCACCACCAGCCCCCCCCCAAAAAACAACAAATCAGAAAACGCCTCAAAAATAACTGCCAAAAGCCAAAAAAAAAAACAACGACAAACCAGAGTCTAAAACCACTTAGCCAAACAGAACCAGGAGGAGGCCTGAGAGAGCCTAGAGCCCAGGCAGGAGGCCCAGCCACTCACTGCCACCACCCCAAATTAACAACCCAGCCCCAGAGATTATCATCACACTGTAAAAAGAAAAAACTTTTAAAAATCTGGTTTTAACTGCAAAGTGCAACAGAAATCACACACCACAAACAAACAGAACCAGGAAGAGGCCTGAGAGGCCCCAGGGCCCAGGCGGGAGGCCTAGTCTCCTCACCACTCAACCCCCCGCAAACCACCAGCCCACAGCAAAATGAGAAAACTTTTTTTAAACTGGTGCTGTAATAAAGTCAAACAAGTTAACGTCTTCAGTCTTCTGTTCTCCATCAGGCAGGATCTGATTCGAAGTGGTCCACACACAAGACTCTTGTGTCACAAGCTTAGAAGCAGCAGCGAGAGTTGCCAGGTCTGGATTGGAAACTACATGGAGAATTTGGGGGTGGATCAGGGAGAGGGCAGTAGGCTTGCCAAGTCCCCCCGGGGGGCGGGTAAACCCCCGCCCCAGAGACCCGTTCCCCGCCGCCGGCGGATCGGGCCCCGGGGGGAATC